TATGTCGATTTCACTCTCAAGGGTAAAAATTTAAAAGTGGAAAAAATAGAAAAGTGGAATAAGAGGAAAACATTTATTATTATTTTTTGGTACAAGGTCTCACTACACAGCATGGACTCCTAATGATCCTCTTGTTTTCAGCCTCCCCAGCAGTGGGATTATAGGCATGTGTCACCATGCCCGGACTTGGTCACTGGCTCAGTAAGCCCCAGGGGTGGGGCCTGCGCAGCATGTGGCACTGGGGATTGAACCCTGGTCCCTGTGCTTGCCAAAGCAGGTGCTTAGTCTGCTGAACTATCTCGCTGGTCTGTTTTAGTAGGTATTTTTTTTTTTTTTAATGCTGTAATTTCTTTTTTAAAAATTTTATTTATTTATTTGTGTGTGTGTGTGTGTGTGTGTGTGTGTGGCCAGCTCAGCCCACCAGGGGGTGGAGCTGGCTGGCATGTGGTGCTGGGGGATTGAACCGCGGTCCCTGTGGTTTGCTAAGCTTGTTCTAAGTAGGTGCTTTAGACCACTGAGCCATCTCACCAGCCCCCTGTTTTAGTAGGTCTTAATGTTAATTACTTTTAGCATTCTGTAGTCTTCTGTGTTTTTTTTATTTAATGATTGAGATACATTGGTGCTATTTTTGATTTTTTGTTTTTGTATTTTGGGGAAGAGTTTTTTGTTTTCAACACATAGTTTCTTTAATTGAAGGATTATTCCATAACTTCTAAGTAGATAAAATATACAATTTTTATTTTATTTCATTTCATTTTTAGGGAAGGGTCTACAAGGTATTCAGGGTCTCACTACTAGATCAGACTCAGTGATTTGCCTGTTTACAGCCTCCCAAGAGCTGGAATTACAGGCATGTGCCATCATGCCCAGTCTCAATTGCTGTCTCAGCATGTCCTGGGGGTGGGGCCTGCAGGGCAGGCCCAGGGATTGAACCCCCGACCTCTGTGCCTACATTGGTGCTTAATGTAGTTATTTAGCCCAGAAATTGGTATGCCTCATTTTTCTTGTATTTCATATTACATCATTTGATCCTTGTCTCCACTGGGGCAGTGGGCTGTTAGTCTACATCTTGTCTCTCTTGATCTTTTATTTTTTTATTTTTAATTTTTTTGTAGAATTGGGGATTGAACTCAGGCCCTTGCGCTTGCCAGGCAAGCACTTACTCTGCTAAGCTATCTTCCCGGCCCCTCTGTTTCTTTTTTAATTGTATTATATTTCTTTCCAACTCCCTGAAGAGAATTACAATAGGATTTCAGTTTTTTCCTTTTGCTGTTGTTCATTTGATTTAGTTTCTAGTTTTAACATTGAAAACATTCTTCAGGTTATAGGAGATCCTTGGTGGCCTGCTGGTATTTGTAAAGAAAATAATAAAATGGAGTGTGTGGCACTTGAGTTGTGGGGCTTCCTTTGCAGAAGGATTGGAGGCCTAAAGTCGTTGGTTTATATCACTCTTTCCTCAGGAATTCGTCACATTTTCCAATGGCGGCCAGTATTCCATTCTGTTGCTTGTATGGGCATCTGTGTGTTGTCCAGGATGGCCTGGGACTCATGATGATCCTTTGTGTCTCAGCCTCCTGAGTACTGGTATTAACAGGTGTGCACCACCATGCCTGGCTTCAGGGTGTTTTTTTTTTTTTTTTGGTATCAGTTTAGTGAATATATAAAAGTGGGAAAATATATATGGTTTGTTTTGGAGACAAGGACTCACTGTAGTTTACGCTGACCTTGAACTCAGGCTGGCCTCAGCCCCACGATGAGCCTCCTGCCTCTGCCACCTAAGTACAGGGTTGTGTACCATTGTGCCCAGCAGTGAATATATATTGAATGATGAATATAAATTAGTTTTATTTTTTTATTATTTTTTAAAATTTTATTTAGAGTGTGTGTGTGTGTGTGTGTGTGTGTGTGGCCAGTTCAGCCCACCAGGGGGCGGGGCTGGCTGGTATGTGGTGCTGGGGGATTGAACCGCGGTCCCTGTGCTTTAGCTGAGCTTGTTCTAAGTAGATGCTTTAGACCGCTGAGCCATCTCACCAGCCCAAAAATTAGTTTTAAAACTGGGCTGTGGTCAGAAACTGGTACAAATTTTAGAAATTAGAGGGTAAAGAGAAAGTTCATACATTAAAATGTACATTTCCTTTATTATAAGTACATTTAGGTGCATCATTTATTTATTTATTTATTTTTTGGTTAACAGAAAGCAACTTTTTTTTTTTTTTCCCTCTTTTTCCGTAACCGGGGATTGAACTCAGACCCTTGCGCTTGCCAGGGAAGCACTTATTCTACTGAGCAATCTCCCCAGCCCCTAAGTGCATCATTTATATAAAAAATTTGTAGTTGCCTGTTTATGTCTCCTGTTTTCCTTTTGAATTTTTTTGTTATGTGTGTACTGGGGACTAAACCCAAGACCTTCACTACTTCCCCACTCTTTTATTTTTTATTCATTTTCATTGTATTTTTACTTTTATTTTGAGATAGGGTTTTGTGAAGTTGTGCAGGCTGGGCTCATTTTTGCAGTCTTTCTGCCTCAGCCTCCTGTATTGTAGGGTTACAGGTATGAATTCTTTTTGTTATTGATGCAAAGGAGCAAATATGTGGTAGGTTTTTCTTTTGTTTCTGTTTTGGCTTTTTGAGACAGGGTCTCACTGTGTAGTTCAGGCTGCCTATCAACTCACTGCTTAGCCTAGACTGACCTCAAACTCTTGGTAATCCTCCTGTCTCAGCCTCTCAAGTGCTAGAACTATAGGTGTGCACCATGCTTAGCTACAGAGTGTAATTTTGAGTATTCTATGTTTATATGTTACCCTTTTAAGGAGAAGATTTCTAGTAGTTTCAGAAGTGTCATTCTGCAGTTGATTCTCTTCAAAGTCAAATAGCATGGCAGGGGAAAGCTTTTCATCCCTTGGCAGCAGGAACGCCAAGCACAGGAGAGGGACTCCAGAGAGGAGAGGTAGGGGACAGGGAACATCCTACAAGCCCTTCAATTTAGTGGATATATATATATAGAAGTGAGGGGGAAGTGGGCTAGTCTCCTCACTGGTTCAGCTAATGCCCTTGTTTGTGCTCCCTCCAGTTCCTCCTGTCCCACCAGCCTACAAAAAAAACTAATACAAGGAAGCTTTGTGGGGGACATTTTGAATCAACCAGAACATTTTTCTTTTCACATCTGTTTTGACAAGGTCTTGCTATATTGTTAATGTTGTAACTCAAAAATGAGGCAGGCTCGAAAAGAAGCACTTTATTTTAGCTGGTAGCCAGCGGCAGACACCCCAGCAAGATGCTGAGGTGTGTGCTGGGAGGATGAGGGGAGTGGGTATTTAAGCTGATAAACCGCAAAGGCTGACGTCAAAGTTTCATCTAGGGGCTACAGTTGAAAAATTACCTGTTTCTAATGAACAATAACAGGTGCAGTAGTGGGTACAGTTTGTAGCTGGGAATGAGGGCAAGAACAGGGCATTGGGCTAGAACTAGATTCAGGTGTATACAAAGGACAGTGTGAGAAAGGCCCAACTGCAGGTTCTCAAGTAGAGAACGGGGCACAGTGGTTAAGTTACAGCGTTTAGAATGGTGCATACAGAACAAGATGGCAGCGCATATGTCAAGTTATAACAGTTAATAACATTACAGTGGAAGCATACAGAGTTACAAAATTGGAATCAATTGCACAGGTTATAACAGTTAAGGCTGGGCTTGAATTCACCATATAGCCCTGGCTGGCCACAAACTCAGGGTGATTTTCTGCCTCGGTTTCCTTTCTTCTTCTTCTTCTTCTTCTTTTTTTTTTTTTTTTTTGCGGAACCGGGGATTGAACTCGGACCCTTGCGCTTACCAGGGAAGGGCTTATTCCACTGAGCCATCTCCCTGGCCCCTCTTCTTTTTTTAAAAATGTATTTATTGGGCTGGTGAGATGGCTCAGTGGTCTAAAGCACCTATTTGAACAAGCTTAGCAAAGCAAAGGGACCCCGGTTCAATCCCCCAGCACCACATGCCAGCCAGCCGCGCCCTCTGGTGGCCTGAGCTGGCCACACACACACACACACACACACACACACAAATAAATAAAAAAAAAATGTATTTATTACAGGGTCTGCAGGTCTCACTATGTAGATCCTATTCATAGTGATCCTCCTGTTTTCAGCCACCCAAGTGCTGGGATTACAGGCGTGTAATACCACACCCAGTCTCATTTGGGTGTGTGGGGGGTGGGGTGGGGCTGGCCTGGCATGCTGGAGATCGAGCCCTGTCCCTGCATTTTTTTTTTCCTTTTTACTCAGTTTCCTTTGTGGTGTGTATTCTAGATGTAAATAAACAGCCAACTTCCCTTTTGCTCATAACAATATGTTTAACAAACTGCAAAATGTCTTGGTTCTAATCTTATTCGAGCTCTTAAAAGGAATAACTTAACCTAATTTATTTCACTTGTTGGATGGGAATTCATCCATACAGATTTGGGTTAGAAATCAACTTTTTGTGCTATGGCTTGAGATGTTGTTTTTGTTGCTAAAGGATTAAAGGCTAATTTTGCAAAGAAAACAAAAACTGCCTTGGGAATAGGTTGGGTGGACCCGTGAAGGTCCAGAGTAGTAGTTGCTTGGACATTAACACAGTTTCCTCCTGGTCACTGGATACATATAACTACCTCTTTTTAACTCTTAGAACTCTTACCTGCCTGTTTTCTGCTATCTCTTGAGTATTTTATCCTGCAAAGGGAGCTCATGCTGTGTTTGAAGCATCCTTCTGGGAGGCTTCACTAATATGTCCAGTACTATTAACCTAACCCAAGATTTTAAGGAATGTCATTGGCATAGGATCTTTGTTTTGTACCGGAGATGGAACTCAGGACCTTGTGCTCACCGGACAGGCACTTATGCCACTGAGCTATCTCCCTGGCTGACATACTATTTGCATGGTATTTTTAATACCTGTTTTTCTTTTTTGTTATTTTCTGCTGACTAAACTTTCTCCCTATTCACTGTGATGTTTTAATTTTCTTTGCATTATAGCAAATGGAAAGGTGACAATAGCAGCGTCACTTCCCTGTGTATCAGCCCAGATGGAAAGATGTTACTTTCAGCTGGTCGAACAATCAAACTATGGGTTTTGGAGACCAAAGAAGTCTACAGAGTGAGTGTATAAAATTATTTGTAAGCATAACAGTCATACAGAGTAAGTGTGGAGAAAGGCAGAAATTTTGACCATAGGATATTGTGTTAAGAATATAAATCCTAAAAAAAAAAAAAAAAGAATATAAATCCTAGGCTTTGTGCTGCTGCCTGTAGTCCCAGCACTTAGGAGGCTGAGACAGGAGGGTGGCTTGAGGCCAGCCTAGGCTACATAAGGAAATTTTGTACCCCAAAAAAACAATTCAAATTTTTCTTTTTTTTTTTTGGCAGAAACGGGGTTTGAACTCAGGCCCTTGTACTTGCCAGGCAAGCAGTTATTCTACTGAGCTATCTCCCCAGCACCCCAAATTTTTCATGCATGTCAAATAATAGGATTAACAGACAAAAATTAGTCTGCATATATGATTTGGTCTGGAAAGGATGCATAAAATAAATGGAATTTGAGTTTAAAATCTGTTACTATAAGGTAGTTATGGTAATTTTATTTTCTAGCTTGCATCTAGTGTTTGGTCCATGTATAGTATTTCACTGTAGAGGTTTTTTTTTTTTAAATGTGTTTAGGACATGGTATACAGGGTCACACTACATAGACCAGACTCAGTGATTCTTCTGTTTTCAGCCTCCCAAGCACTGGGATTATATGTACGCGCCGCCATGCCCAGTCTCAATCTCCATCTCAGCGTGCCCTGGGGCAGGGCTGGCATGGCATGCCAGGGAGCTGCTGTGTTCTGCCTTAGCAGGCACTTCAGAACACTGAGCTGTCTGGCTGGCTCTCATTGTAGAGAGTTTTTAATGTTAGGAAAAGCAGCTGCGCTCAGGGGTCGCTGAACTTGAGGTGCTGTGATGATGCTATAAAATTGTGGTTTCGACTCGCTGAGAGTAAAATGAAGACCTACAATTCCTTGGCTGTGTCTGAGCACCTAAGCAACCCTTTAAAAGTGAGTAGAATTAGAGCTGGAGATGGAGCTGGATGGTGGAGTGTTGCCTAACATTCCCAAGATCTTGGGTTTGGTGCCTGGTGCTGCACAGAAAGAGTTTAATTTTGATTGTTTTCATACAGGTGTTTTAAATGTGCAAAGATTATAGCATAAATGATCTTATTTGCTTATAATTAAACAATTTTCTTGTAGAGCTTTGCTGTCAGATTAATAGCTTCTTTCTGGTACACATGGATTCTTTTTGTACAGTACTACTTTGAATCTAGCCCCTTCTAATGAGATTTAACTTTCTCTAGCACTTCACAGGACATGCGACACCAGTTTCATCGCTTATGTTCACTACTATCAGACCTCCTAATGAGAGCCAGCCCTTTGATGGAGTTACAGGCCTTTATTTCTTATCTGGAGCAGTGCATGACCGGTTACTTAATGTCTGGTAGGTAGTTCTTTTGGATTTTGGAGGGAGCTTTGCCTTGAAGGAATCTGTCAAAGTTCATGTGGTTATTACAAGTTTTTTTTTTTTGCGGAACCAGGGATTGAACTCAGACCCTTGTGCTTGCTAGGGAAGCGCTCATTCCATTGAGCCATCTCCCCGGCACAGTCTTTTTTTTTTTTTTGGGTTAATACAAGTGATGAGTGTAAGACTCACTTTATTGTTTGGAATTACGTTGACTTATGGTGAAGAACTGATCCTGTCTAAACATTGGATCTTTTGGAGAACAATTTAAGAGCATTACAAAATAGAGCCTCCTGCCTACTCCCTTAGAGATGCAGTAGTCTGAATATTTTTGTGAACAAAGACATTTTGCTCCAAAAAGCAAAGTTAGGGATATAGCTAAGAGGTAAATTTAAAAATAAAAATTTTAGAGAGAAGATACTTCATTTTGTAGAAATAGATGGCACCCCTACGTTAACAATGTCTATTTACTGATGGCTGAGGTATAAAATTACTTGACGTTTTGAGAATTACCACTAACCTTTCTGTGTTATTATTCCCTTTGAGGTTAACTTGTATAAATTTCATATACGGTCTCACTACGTAGATTGAACTCAGTGATTCTCCTGTTTTCAGCCTCTCAAACGCTGGGTTTGTAGGCGTGTACCACCACGCCTGACCTAAGGTTAACTTTTAGAAATAAAAATTAATTTGATGCTAGGGAGCTATCAACAAGTTTTAAAGGTAAGAAATAAATTTCTTGGATTTCAAGATATCATTTGATAATGAATTTGCCATTTTCAGTACTGTTCGTGACAAAATCTGGAGGTAGTATCACATTTTAGGAATAGTTAGTTGGGCATGCTTGTGATCATACATTTATGGTGCTTATCTAGAAATAGTACTCAGGACTTCAAGCTTGGGGCACTGCTCTGTAGACCTGCCTGGGAGGGAGATCGAGGGACAGGGTCATTTGAGCCTAGCAGTTCAAGTATACGTTGGCCAACACAGCCAGACTCTGTCTCAAAAAACAAAGTGAGGAATATAGCTAAGAGGTAGAACACTAGCCTCACACATGTAAAGTCCTGGGTTTTATCTTTAGCAGTGCAAAACAAAAAACAAATTAGTAATGCCAGAGTTAAATGCTTACAATGGCCGCCTGACATTACTGAGATACTTCAGTCCTAAGTGTTTTATAACACAGCACTTTCATATCTTAGTTTCTGAAGTTACAGAATTTCTGTCTGTCTTTTCCTTCTTTCTTACCTTCTTTCCTTCTTTCTTTCTTTCTTTTCTTGTATTTTAGGGAAGAGTCTACAGGGTGTTCAGGGTCTCACTACTAGATCGGACTCTTAGTGATCTGCCTGTTTACAGCCTCCCAAGAGCTGAGATTACAGGCATGCACCAAGCCTAGTCTCAAATGCAGGCTCAGCATGCCCTGGTGGCGGGGCCAACACTGTAGGCCTCAGGATCGAACCCTTGGCCCCTGCACCTGCTTGCAGGCACTTTAATCTGCTGAGCTATTTGGCTGACCCCCCAGAATTTCTAAGAGAAGGATTGATTTCCATTATTATTATGAAAAATAGTATCTTGTCTGGAGGCATCCTAGTAACAGAAGAGTAAACTTAGTTTTAACTTGTACATCTCTCCCCAGAAATTTATATTCCATATTAAAAGGCTGCCTAACAAACTATAAAGTTTGGATATTAGTAGAGCAAACCTAAAGTTACCTGATTTTGTTTATTGTTGTTTTGTTTGAGACAGTGTTGCCTTGTGGTACAGGCCCAGGCTGGGCTTGAACTGGTGGTGATCCTCCTGCATCAGGCTTCCAAGTGCTAGGATTAGAGGTGTGCAACACCATACCTGGCAAGAATGCATTTTGAAATTAAGAAAGTACAAAAACAGAGGGCTGGCGAGATAACTCAAAGAGACTTGAGTGCCTGCTGGTTCGATCTGGGCACCATGCTGGCCCTGTCCCTGGGTGTGCTTAGCCTGCCACCAAGATTGGGCATGGTGGCACACGTCTGTAATCCCAGTGCTGGGAAGGCTGAAAACAGGAGTTGGAGCTGCCTAGTGAGATACTGTACCAAGTACATTAAAAAGAAAAAAGTATAAAAACATGTAGTTTACTAAAATCAATTTAATTTTCTTTTGCTCTTTAAAACGTGGAAAGATTGCTTATTATTTTTTTATTTTTATTTTTTGTGGTACTGGGGATTGAACTCAGGACCCTGCACTTGCCAGGCAAGTGCTTATTGTATTGAGCTGTGTCCCAGGCCCTAAGATTGATTATTAGATACATTGTTTTCCTGGGTAATAAAGAGAAAGTGACTTTGAATTGTTTTGGATTTGATTCCCAGTAACAAAAACTCAAAACAAAATAACACTCTCCTGATCAATTGTTTTGGAAATCGTACCTGTGCTTATTCTATTATTTGTACCTAGCTTTATTGAAGAATAGCTTACACATAAATAAACTGTGTACATATAAAATACATAGATTCGTAATTTTCATGTGTGTTACTATAATCAAGACAGTGTGGCTGGGGAGATAGATCAGCAACATAAGCACTTGCTGGCAAGCACAAGGTCCTGTATTCAATCCTCAGTTTAAAAAAACCCCAAAACCAGTGGGCATTGTACCCTTGGTAATCTGCCACAGTCTCCAGACATGTTGATAGGTTGGGTTGTTATGAATAGAACTGCTGTAGTTTTTTTTTTGGCAGAACCAAGGATTGAACTTAGCCCTTGCACTTGCCAGGGAAGCGCTTATTCCACTGAGCCATCTCCCGGCCCCTGCTGTAGTTCAAGAGCATTTCCCTTGGGCAAAAACCTGAGCGTTGAGTAGTTTGGCTAGTTTCTGTGTCTACTTCCCCCCCCCCCCCGTCAGATTTTACTGGTACATTTAAATATACATAATACCCACATTCATCATAGAGAATTTATACTTGTACATGATATAGCTTGATTCTCCCTCCCACTCTCCTACCCTCCCTTTAACCCCTTTTCCTTCCCCATTTACGGAAGTTCTGGGTTTTTTTTTTCCCCTTTTCTCTTTTTTTTTTTTAAACCTTTTCCCTTCTGTCTCTTGTTCCCTTCCCCATTTGAATATTTTCTATTTCACAATACCTAATATACATTTTGGTCCTCATTTATACCATCAGTTTCTCATACTAGAGAAACAGTGCAATATTTGTACATGTGTGTCTGATTTATTTCACTTAGGAGTATGGTCTTTTTTTTTTTTTTAAGCAGCAAAGTAGGTATCATTTCTTTTATTAATTTTATTGGTACATTTTATTTTATTTTAATAATTTTATTGAGAAACAAATAGCAATGAGACAGTTTCAGAGCAAATTGGTAGGACAGTT